CCAAATATTTGGTCACATACCATCAAATAGTAGGTCACATAACCAAGTAATTGGTCACATACACCAAATATCAGTCACACACCATACCACCGTCACCAACACTACGGTGATTCTCATCGGCGAAGCTGCGGTGGCGTCTGCAATCAAAAGTATGCCACCCTTCACCTCCTCACACTCACCCGTATCCGCCATAGCCAATTGGTACCAGGATTCAACTTAAATCTCTCATATGATGGAGGTATTGGGTTCGAATCTTGGAGGACGCGTCAGAAAGCCGTGAGGAGATAAGTGGGCAGAAGCCCGCCCCAGATCGGACAGTACGTAAGATAACGACTTCGGTGAGAGGCCGAGTCGTGGAACAATTGGTACCAGGATTCAACTTAAGTCTCCCATATGATGGAGGTCTTGTGTTTGAATCCTGGGGGACGCGTCAGAAAGCCGTGAGGGGATAAGTGGGCAGAAGCCCACCTCAAGCAGACAGTACGTAAGATAACGATTTCGATGAGAAGCCGGGTCCTTACAGATAATCTAGAAACAATGAAAGTACAATAAGTATGGTTGAGGACAACACCCAAAATTGGTCATCATGGTAGAGAGAGAGAGTTTTCATGGTTTTGTAATATGCAATATAGTTATGGGTGATTTTAAAACTCAACTATGGGGAAATCACTAAAGGTTACATTCCAAAATTCTTTATCAATTGAACTATTATTTTTCAAATACCTTTATACCCAGACTTGGTACTGATAAATAAAGCAGCAGCAAGTCAATAAGAAACTTGTATGAATAGCTACGGAATATAGGAAATCATTGATGTATGATTGACGGTGGCTTCACCTTGAGATAGAAAGGTTTATAAAAAATAAAGTAAAGATTAGATGACACAGCACTATCAAGCTCAAATGACGGAGAACGATCTCAAACTTCCCTATTATTATTTATAAATCAAACAGACGATTCAAATATGATATCTTGCCGGCGAAGCTACGGTGACGGCATCTGTGCATCGCCTGTAGCGGATCTGCAGCGGTGGTGTCTCGTCGGCGAAGCTGCTGTAACGATTGCAATCGGACCGACGGCAGAGAGCGTGGAGAAAGGGATAGGAGAAAGTGAAGAGAAGGGGATGGGATGGGAGAGAGAGATGGCGGGGAGAGGAAGAGGGGGGGAGGCGAGATGGAGAGAGAGAGGTGAGAGGAGACGCACAAGAGAGAGAGATAGGTGAGGAAGTTGAGAGCGAATNGTGTGATAAATTAGGGTTAGGATTTTAATATATAGTACCTGATTTTTTAATAATAAAACTTGGTCCCTGATTTTTGAATTCCAAACTTCAAACACCTGGAACTATGTAATTTCCCAGTAATTTACTTACTTAATAAAGGTCTACTTTTTTAAAAGGTTGTATATTGATACCATAATTTTTTATAAGTGCATCACATTTTAATTAAATGTCCATAATCTTTACTTATTGTTATACTTATGCTCTCGACTTCTTTCGTCATATTTTTAGCTTCAATATTTCATTAATTAGCACATATTGTCCGTCATAACAGTTTTCATCCAAAATTTTATCAAGTGGCATAAAAAAATTTATTTGTCTTGTATCTTTAAATAAGTAAAAAATACTAAATGTAAGTTTGCAACTAAATTTTTTTTTTTCTTTATTCTTAAAACAAACTAATAAAATTTTTGTATGAAAATCGTAATCGAAGATTGTATATGCTAGTTAATAAATGATTGTGGATAAGAATGCCATAAAATTAAATTAAGGATATAAATGTCAAAATGAATAAAGATTGGTGACTTTAGTGTAATTAAGATGTGTACACTAATAAGAAATTATGATGTGAATATAGTTACCTTTTTAAAACTTAATTATTTAATTATAAATAAACTTTTAAAGCTTAGGCAAACTTGTTCTTTGAGTAATTCTTCAAAAGTGAAATGCTCTTTAGTTTACCCACAACTTTAAAATTTAATTATCATAAATCAGGTCATTAAGAAATTTTATAAAAATATATTTATATTAATTACAAAAATCATTTTTATCTCTCTTATCAATTTCTCTCCCAATATTCAGCAGAAATCTTAATGAAAAGAGAACACCAGTGGATCGGATTGGGGAATGCGACTATTTGAATGGTTTGACATGTGGCCATTTTTTACTTTCTTTAATTGTCAACAAGGGGTGGGGTGAGTAAGTGTTACGCCTCGCCTTAGAATCTCAAAGTAAGAGTACCACGTAGGCAGAAAGTCAAAATGAAGACCCATGAGGTCAAAATATGCAGAAATCAAACAAAATCGAAATCCTTATACTACAAAATCGAAGTCCATGCTGAAACACTGCCTCAAGGACGAAGCACTCCACCTTAGGCTGAAACACCACCTAAGGAAGCAAATAAATGAGCTGAAACTCTCCATTCAGAGAACCACCTCAAAGATCTTTTTAAGACTCTCAAACTCATCTGAAACCCATGAAACCGACGCTATCTATTGCGATAGATTTGAGGATCCCTTAGAAGTGATTGATGTAATATTTTTAATAAAATTAGTCAGTGTGTCGCCTATTATATAGTGCGGCTGATCCTTTATCGATGTATTAAATTATGAATAGACAGTGATGTGAACTCTTAACTAGAAAGATGAGGCCACGTGGTTCTAATCCAACAATCACCACGTCGGCCAATGCAATATAAATAGGTTCTCTTTGTAACTGAAAATGGGCGAGATTATTGATTGGAATTTGGACAATCATATAGTCAAAATATACACTTGAACTCTGAAGAATTTCATATAAACGCTTGGCTTGAATATTTTTTGTCTTCTTTACATGTTTATTGGATGTAAATTTCTACATACAATGTAACAATTTCTATACACATTTTATCTATCATTCCACACATTCATATTTGTTACTACGTAGATTTGTTTAGTTTCTACCCGGTGATCATTGTTAGTGCAATTGCTTTTGTTTCACCCGTCAGAGTTTGAATAGTTTTATCTCTCGCTGCATAGTACCTCTCGCGTCTATTTCCTCCTTGCTACCGCAGTTATTCCGATAGAAACACATCAAAATCGTACTTAACTTGAAGTGAGTGGGACCGACATCTGTTGGCTCATTTTCTTGAATCAACAAGAAGAAAACCAATTAGTAGGGCATTTGCAATTTGTTTTACCTGTTATCATCTAGGACGACCACGCAATGTCGAATCCAGACCCCATGAAAGAAGCAATGGAAGAGACATCGGATGAAGAATTAGAGAGAAGAGGTGGGAGTGAGGTGAATAGTGTCTATGTGAGGATGGATTAGTTGGGTAATTTGTGACTAGTAGTAAATAATACCAAACCTATTAAAG